ACCTATTAAAGGTTAACTTCAACACGTTCGACAAAAACTAAACTTACTAAATATTAAGTTTGGTCTTTCTCTTCCTTTTTAAAAACAAACTGTGCCACCACCCCCTCCCCCAGTAGAACTTTCTGGGTCGGCAGTGAGCCTCGGCAACGTGCACTGACTTCTGTGGTTTGGTGGCGTTTCTGTGCTTGCAGAGAGCGGCCCTGGAGGCGTGCCACAAGGGCTGGGGCACCAGTGTGGTGGTTGGAGTAGCCGCTTCAGGCGAAGAAATATCCACTCGCCCCTTCCAGCTGGTCACAGGCCGTACGTGGAAAGGCACTGCCTTTGGAGGTAATGGGCTGGAGGAGATGAGTCCTTCTTCTCTTTGGTGCTTCCATTGGCAGATTTCCAATCCCTGCCTCATTTTTTTTGTGTTAACAAAAATCTCCGTGGGCTACCTTGTCATTACAAGTTGTTTCACGCAAGGTGACTTCAATACACAGACGTGGCTTTCAGTTTTGTTTTTTAAGGCTGGTCAGGCGAAGCAGTGGGGGTGGAGAAGGAACAGAGGAATCTGTAACTGGTTGTGAACAGCACTGCGCTCGGACCAGCCCACGTTCACTAGTTACCCTGGGGCTGGAGAGGTGCTCGGTTTCTCCTAAAGCACGAGGTTGTTATATACTCTTTTTTATAAAAAAACACAAACCATATTCTGCTAAAGAGGACGTGGTTGGGGGTGGGGCAGGGCGAGCAGCAGCAGCAGCAGCAGCCACAGTGTGTGTCGGGCCCTGGACTTCAGTGGGTTGTCGCATTTTCACTTATTTTTATCAGAAGGTGCAGCGGTCACTGGATGTGACCACAACTCTGTCTGAGTGGTACTCATCTGAGCAGTAACCAACACTGAGTCTTACGCCGATCATATTAAATTGGACAAAACCGTATAACAAAATCAAAAAGCACCTGACTGATCGTTTTTCCCTTGTAGTGATCCTAAGTGCTCGGTTGTTTGGGGTTGCTGGGAACAGTTTCTGTCTTTTTCACAGCCGCTCAGCTAGAGAAGAGAGAAGACATCAAAACATGTTTGTGTTGGCCGGGCACGGTGGCTCACGCCTGTAATCCTAGCTCTCTGGGAGGCCGAGGCGGGCGGATTGTTTGAGCTCAGGAGTTCGAGACCAGCCTGAGCAA